GGACGAGTGGCCTAGGGGCCGCGGGGCCAAACAGGGGTCCGGGGGGCCTAGAGGGGGCCAAGGGGCCTAGGGGGCCGAGGGGCTAAACAAGAGGCCGGGGGGGGGGGGTCGGGCGCCGGTCTCTGAGAAGGGGCCGAGGGGCCTAGGGGCCGCGGGGCCAAACAAGGGGCCTGGGGGGGCCTTAGGGGGGCCGAGGGGCCTAGGGGGCCGAGGGACCAAACAGGGGGCCTTGGGGGCCGAGGGGCCAAAGTAGGGGCCGGGGGGCGTAGGGGGCCGAGGGGCCAAAGTAGGGTCCGGGGGGGCCGGGCGCCAGGCTCTGAGGTGGGGCCGAGGGGCCTAGGGGCCGCGGGGCCAAACAAGGGGCCTGGGGGGGCCTTAGGGGGGGCCGAGGGGCCTAGGGGGCCGAGGGGCCAAACAAGGGGCCTAGAGGGCCGAGGGGCCAAAGTAGGGGCCGGGGGGCCGGGCGCCAGGCTCTGAGGAGGGGCCGAGGGGCCTAGGGGCCGCGGGGCCAAACAAGGGGCCTGGGGGGCCTTTAGGGGGGCCGTGTTGCCTAGGGGGCCGAGGGGCCAAACAGGGGGCCTTGGGGGCCGAGGGGCCAAAGTAGGGGGCGGGGGGCCTAGGGGGCCGAGGGGCCAAAGTAGGGGCCGGGGGGGCCGGGCGCCAGGCTCTGAGGTGGGGCCGAGGGGCCTAGGGGCCGCGGGGCCAAACACGGGGCCAGGGGGGCCTTAGGGGGGCCGAGGGGCCTAGGGGGCCGAGGGGCCAAACAAGGGGCCTAGAGGGCCGAGGGGCCAAAGTAGGGGCCGGGGGGCCGGGCGCCAGGCTCTGAGGAGGGGCCGAGGGGCCTAGGGGCCGCGGGGCCAAACAAGGGGCCGAGGGGCCAAGGGGGCCGAGGGGCCAAACAGGTACAGGGCCGGGCGCTGGGCAGGTACGGGCCGGGCGCAGGAAGGAGACGAGGCCGGGCGCGGGCTAGGTACGTGCCGGGCGCGGGCGTCGAAGTTGGCGGGGCCAGCTGGGCCGAGGCGACGGGCTAGGTACGGGCCGGGCGACTGGCTTCGAAGTTGACGGGGCCAGCGGGGCCGAGGTGACGGGCTACGTACGGGCTGGGCAACGGGCTAGGTACGAGCCGGGCGACAAGCTAGGTACGGGCCGGCGCGGGCGACGAAGACGGCGGGGCCAGCGGGGCCGAGGCGACGGGCTACGTTCGGGCCTGGCGACGAGCTAGGTACGGGCCGGGCGCGGGCGACGAAGACGGCGGGGCCAGCGGGGCCGAGGCGACGGGCTACGTTCGGGCCTGGCGACGAGCTAGGTACGGGCCGGGCGCGGGCGACGAAGACGGCGGGGCCAGCGGGGCCGAGGCGACGGGCTACGTACGGGCCTGGCGACAAGCTAGGTACGGGCCGGGCGCGGGCGACGAAGACGGCGGGGCCAGCGGGGCCGAGGCGACGGGCTACGTACGGGCCGGGCGCGGGCGACAAAGTCGACGGGGCCAGCGGGGCCGAGGCGGCGAGCTAGGTACGGGCCGGGCGACGGGCTAGGTACGGGCCGGGCGCGGGCGACAAAGTCGACGGGCTAGGTACGGGTAGTGCAGTAGGTGGTGGGCCCACTGAGACTAGGTCCTAAGACTTAGTTGCTCTTAATACCATGTTAGAATCCTTAGGTGAGAATGATTGACTAGGAAGCAAGGAAGGGTACAAGTAGAATGTCGAGATAATTCTGTACCCCCTAAGGCTAAACCCACTATAGCCTAGACAAATGTAAACACATGAACTAAGCCTAGATATAACTAAGCATATATGTTTGACAGTCTCGGGTTCGAATCCCAGTGTGTGCATTTCGGGCATCCCAGTGCGGGGGGGTGTCAGAGGTCCACCGGTGATCCCCGATTGATCCTAGGGAAGGGTCACTGGCATGTTGGCATGGGGTGTTATGGGCGCACTGACCCGCTACTTAACAAGCCCTTTTATCCCAATGTCATGACCACAGTTTGAATCGCATTCGCTGGGAATGCCATACCTCCATACAATCCACAAACAATTTTGCCGACAACGTACAACTGAAACCTTGGCCTCCCATTGTCGGCATGGAAAAAAAAACAGAGCTTCCAAAGTGTCCGGCCAGGGTTTCGTTCGGACGTTTGGGACTCCGTTCGGAAGAGAGGGTGTCCGGACTAGATTTGTATGTCAAACATTAATCACATAGCCTGTCTAGGCTGTAGTGGGGTAGACACTTTGGGGTACAGTTTTCTAGGGTTTCATATTGTACCCAACTCATTTCCTAGTCAATCATTTTCATTTCCTATTTTCTCACATGGTATAGAGCTGGTTCCCTACTGGGACCGTTCCTTCCTAAAGGCCCACCATTAAAAGTTTTTTTTTACCTACCTGCCCGAAGCGCGCTTTGCGCTCTGCCCTACGTGGCCCCTTTGCGGCCCCCTAGTGGCCTTCTCTGCCTTACGCGGCCCCCTTGCGGCCTGTTGGCGCCCCCCTTAGAGGCCCCGTTGCGACCCCGCCCCGGCCCTTCCCCGTCGCCCGAAGTCGCCCAGTCGCGGCCCCATCGCGGCGCGACCCCGGCCCTGCCTCGTCGCCCATTGCGACCCTGTCGCGGCCCCGCCCTGGCCCTCCCCCCGTCGCTTGTCGCGGCCCGGCCCCGACCCTGCCCCGGCCCCGTCGCGGCCCCGTCCCGGACCTGCCCCGGCCCCGGCCCTGTCCCGGCCCTGCCCCGGCACTGCCCCGGCCCCGTAGCGGCCCTGTCCCGGACCTGCCCCGGCCCTTCCCCGACCCTGCCCCAACCCTGTCGCGGCTCTGTCCCGGACCTACCGCGGCCTCGCCCCGGCCCTGTCCCGGCCCTGCTCCGGCCCTGCCCCGGCCCTGCTCCGACCCTGCCCCGGCCCTGCCCCGGACCTGTCGCAGCCCTGCCCCGGCCCGGCCCCGGATCGTTTGCGGCCCGGCCCCGGCCCTGCCCCGGACCTGTCGCAGCCCTGCCCCGGCCCTCCCTCCGCCCTGCCCCGGACTCGCCCCTGGTAAGATCATCGCCGGGCCGAGCCGCGCTGCCCTCCAAGCACTAGCCCCATACCCGACGTACTGCACAAGTAGCGCAACACCCTCTTCGCTGCAGCCATGTGCTCTGGTCGGTGTCTCCCAGGAGCAACATAGCGTGCCAAGATGCTAAGAGGGTATGCCAGGTCAGGTCGAGTGCAGGTCATCAGGTACATGAGGCAGCCAACAAGCTCTGGGTATGGGCCACTCGGCTCTACGGACTCATCCGAAGGCAGAGCTGAGAGCGAGTGGCGAGTAGACAGAGGAGTGGCCTGAGGCGAGGAGTACGTGAAGTCGAAGCGCTGAAGGACCTGCTGCACCATGTGTGACTGAGTCAGGGTAATGGTGCGCCGTGCTCTGTCCCGAGTGATCTGCAAGCCAAGATAGCTGCACAGTTCACCCAAGTCTGTGCACGTGTGTCTCTTCTGCAGCTCGGACTTCACGTGGGCGAGTCCAGCAGTGTCAGCCGTAGCAAACACCAAGTCGTCGACGTACACGAGGATGTAGAACGGCGGCAGCAAAGTGTCGGTGCGAAGAAACAGCGACGGGTCAGCAGTGGAAGGAGCAAACCCAAGAGCCGCAAGCGTAGTCCTCAGTGTGTCGTGCCACTCACGGGGCGATCATCGTCAGTGGCATGTGGATTTTCAGGGTGAAGCGGCCGCCGGGTTCTCCGCCTGTCTTCAAGGCGCGTTACGTGGCTCGAGGCTTCAGTCAGCGGCAGGGAGTTGACTACTTTCAGACCTGCTCGGAATGTGTGGTGACGTTGTGATCCACCCTGAGCTTGCTTTGCTTTGCTTGACTGGTCTTGTGACCCCTTGTTCTCCCCCACTTTGCCTATGGGGGTGTGTCAAACATTAATCACATAGCCTGTCTAGGCTGTAGTGGGGTAGACACTATGGGGTACAGTTTTCTAGGGTTTCATATTTGTACCCAACTCATTTCCTAGTCAATCATTTTCATTTCCTATTTTCTCACATTGTAGAGTTTTTTTTTTCAATTTTGAAGTTCAAGCGAAGCGTAACATACATTAGTACAAGCATATTTTTTTTCCCAAATGTAATCGCGCGCCAATGATAGCGAAGATTGAGCGGTCGGTTCGGTGGGCCGTTCGAACGGTATCAGCTCGGTTTTCCGGACCATATTTGATAGAAAACTGTCAAATTCTATCCGAAAGCATGCGACGTCGTATGGGGTATTGTGAAACCCGTTACGAAACCCAGCGAGAAGTGTTACCCCACAGAAGTCCAGACGCGCCACCGTCCGGACGATTGATTTGGGAATACGTGTTACATTTTTTCACCTTTGCCCATCCGAACATGCCATCATCCAGACATTTAACTGGTTACCTATTTCGTTAAAACTATTTAGAGTCGTCGTTAGCGCGCGCACGACGTCGTTAACAATCAGACTGCCGATGAAACATTTTGCATAGTTTGCCCTCCCAAATCGCCCGGACGAGAACCGTTCGATAAACGGACGGATGTAATAGTAACGCAATATTAATGGCCGACGAAAACGAATCGGCGATTCGCTTAAATGTTACATTTGTCGTAATAGAGGTTACTGTTTCGTTAGGACCTTATGTTTTCGTAAGTAGGAAAAAGTGTCATAATCGACGTCTGGACGAGGCTCAGTTTGGACGTTGGACTTGGACTGTCCGATATTCAGTATCCGAACCGTTTTCGGATGAATGTCCGGATTTAACCTCTCTCGAAAAATGTAACAGCCCTAACTCCCTCATAACAAAATGTTCAGAGGTGCATCGATCTAAAAGGCCAGTCTAGTATGTTACGGATGAGCTATTTGAACACGCCCGGCGTCCTCCATCCTGTTTGACGCTCCTGTTGCTCCCCCAATTTCCAACCCCAAAACTGAGCTGCCAAGTTGCCCACGCCTGACGTTGCTGGTACCGATTCGCCCTCCCCTCCGTTTGCCGCCGACCTGCGGCCTCCGGCGGGCGCCAGAATGCGTGCAGTGCGCGCGACATTCCTATGCCTGTCGCTCAACTTCACTCTTTGCAGCATCTTCAACGGCCGCCACTACACGGGCCGTGGCTCCCTGCCCATCGGCGGATCGGATGTCGCCACGTCAGCAGATACGAGATCAGCCGGCGTTTGGGCGTCGTCAGATGCGTCGGGGTTTGTGCTGCTGGACTCGCGGCAGATCTGCACCCACGACCAGTGGTCGCGCGCCACGCAAGGCCTCATCCCCTCCTTACAAGCACTTACCTGGTAGTCGCGTCACGCTGACGTCAGCCATTTTGTTTTCCCAGCGCGAGTATCGCTGCACCCTCATTCCTTTCCTCTCCACTCGCCGCTCGCTTCCATCCCCTTCCCTCCATTTTCAGCCCCTCGCTCGTGCCTCTTCACTGCCCCAGCTCTCCCTCTTCACTGCCCCATCTCTCCCTCTTCACTGCCCCATCTCTCCCTCTTGATTGTTCCATCTAAACCCTAAGCTCTCCCTTTTCCCCCTCGCCCCTCTCAGCGCAAATGCCCTGCATCTTGCCATCCTTCATGCCACGCTGCCTCAATTCTCTTCTCCCCAACCCCCCTGCCCCTCCGTCCCCTCCGTCGCCTCAATTCAATTCTCAATTCTCCGTCCCCAACTCTCCCCTCCCCCCTCCCCTCTTGCCCCCCCCCACTCCATGCGGTGCGCGCCTTCCTCCCCCCTTCCCCCCCAGGAGCAGCGCGCTGTGCGACGAGGAGCTGAGCCTGCTCACCTCGCTGCCGCCTCGCCCCGCCGCGCTGCACCTTGCCTCGCTGCCACGCACTCCCCCTGCCCCTGCCACGTGCCTGCGCCCCTTTGTGCGCAAAGGTGGGTCACAAAGGTGGGTGGGTGGACCCCCGCCCTCCTGCTCACTGCTGCCTGCCCACATTACGATACGAGGTGCAGGGTGGTACTGCATGGTGCAGGGCGGTGAGAATGAGCTAGGTCGTCAACATAGTGGTTATGTGTGCATGGGGTTGGAGTGTGCATGGGGTTGGAGTCAAGGTGGAAAAAAACGGTTGTCGAAAAAAACTATCTGTTTTTTTCGATGGTATTTTACGGTCCTTTTTGGGAAAAATACGACGTTTTTTTGTTAGAGAAAAAAATGGCCAAAATTTTACAGATTCTGCTTTGAGCAAGACAAACACCTCACAGCATCTCTTGGTACACCAGCAGCACTCCTAACGGCCCCCTTGTTCTTAGACATGAGCACAAGGGCGAACACCTGTTCGGTTCGCCTCGAACGTGTTCGAGGCGAACCGAACAGGTTTGTTTTTTTTGCTTAAATTGTTCGCCGAACAGTGTTCGATGTTCGCCCGAACACGTTCGTGTTCGGGCCGCTGCTGCAATTTGCCCCGCGACGAACACGAACGTGTTCGATGTTCGCCCGAACATGCCTTCACAGGCGAACGGCGAACACATGTTTTTGCTTAAAGTGTTCGCCGAACCGAACAGTGTTCGGTTCGGCAAACGGATGTGTTCGTCTAGGGGCGAACACGAACATGTTCGTGTTCGCCCCTTGCTCATCCCTACTTGTTCTACTTGTGAAAAAGTGCATGCGTTACCACAGCAGATAAGAGATTACCTGAAAAAAACGATGATTTTTTTCCACCCAAATGCCATATTTTTTTCGAAACCTTTTTTTTTCGCCTTTTACAATTGATTTTTACGATACAGTATTTTAGGGTCAAATTTTGAAAAAAACGTCGTTTTTTTGCACCTTGGTTGGAGTGTGCATGGGGTTGGAGTAGGGTTGAGCAATTTCACGAACGTTCGAGGCGAACCGAACAGGCATTTCATTTTTCCTAATTCGTTCGGGGCGAACATGTTCGGTGTTCGGCCGAACATGTTCGCCGTTCGCCAATGACATTTGGCGAAGGAAAGACGAACACGAACACGTTCGTGTTCGATTTGGGGGGCCGGCGAACACCAAACTGTTCGCGTCAAAATTGGCCGCGACCTAATTTAGGTCGCGGCCGTTTTGAGTTTGAGCTTAAACGACTTTGGCGCTTAGCCCTCCCTCCTACAACAACCGCCATAGCCTTGCGGTTTTAAGAGCCATCGCACACCGTTCCTTAACCTTTACACGAACATTTCATCTAACTAGTTAGTAGTGTAGGGTAATTTCAAAAACACCAAGGGTTGGTAGCTACGGGATCAAGCTTGTAGCGGTCAATTCTCTAGTTGTAGGGGCGGGCATTTCTCCGTGCCACACGTAACTAGGAGTTCAATTAGGACCGTGCTATCCGTGGCTTGCGACCGTTACTTTGGGGTTTTAGGGTTTTAAGGCCGAGGGCGGAGTTATGGCTTCTGGCCAACATGGATCTGTAGGACGAGGAGGTGCAGGCAGCGCTCAGGGTGGTGGGGGGGGGGGGGAAGCCAAAGGGATTGGCTGGAGAGTGGCGGCTGGAAAAGAAGCGCCCACGCATCCAACGTAGTCCATCCGATAGCACCGACAAGGATTATGATCCGAAGAAAGATGGGGATTGCGCGGGGTTGAGGGATGACGACGAGGAGGAGGAGGAGAAGGGTGAGTAGGAGGAGGAGGAGGAGGAGGAGGAGGAGGAGGAGGAGGAGGTGGAGGAGGGGGAGGGAGAGGGTAGTGGTGAGGAGGCTGAGGAGGAGGAGGAGGAGGAGGGGGTGTCCTAGCTGGGGAAGGCTAAGAGGAAGGCCAAGGGGAAGGCCAAGGGGAAGGCCAAGGGGAAGGCCAAGGGGAAGGCCAAAGGCAAGGGGAACGGGAAGATAAAGGGCAAGGGTAAAGGCATAGAAGTTCAGGAGGAGGGGGGGGGAGAGGATGGTATGGCCGCGTCGGTAGATGAGAATGATGGGCCTTTAAAGGCCACGAAAGGGTGTAAGAAGGCCCCAGGTTGGCAGGTCCAGATGTTCGGGCCATTGGGGGCGGATGAGAAGCGCAAGTGTAAGATGTGCGATACCCGTATCAGTTGGTCGACGGGCACTACGACTCCAGGGGTGCGCCACATGGTTGCGAAGCACACGGCGCACCACGACATTTGGCAGTATAGGTCCCTAAGACCACACCTACTGACTAAGGGGGAGACTTTCCCGGAGGGTGGCTACGATGGAGTTCCCGACAGGAAGGTGGTGAATTGGCCACACGTGGCCTCGTGGCCCAAGTTGCCGGTGGTGCAGACCCCGAGCGCGAAGGGTGAGGCAGGCGGCATTGAGCGCTTTGTTACAGCGAGGCTGAGTAAGCTGAAGCTTCGTGCGGCGATCACGAAGCTTGTGGTGACCGGCGACTTGCCCTTTCGCATCGTCGAGCTGGATGCGGTAAGAAAGCGTTCACCCCCCCTCCTATTTGTTGTGCTTTGATGGATTGAGATTGCTGGCCGCACGTGCTACTTCATTGCAGTACAGCCAGCCATCATGGCATCATGAATTGATGTCCACCTTATTCGCCCCTCCTCGTGCTTGTATATATAACACCAGTTCAAGGAGCTGCTGATCCTGCTGAACGAAAAGTGTGGGGAAAAGGGCGTTATCCCATCACGCTGGACGGTGGCGCGCGACACCGTTGTCCTTGCTGACTTGGCGCTCGAGGCAGCGATTGCAGAGCTGGCCTCTACAACCTGTGCCGTGTCGTACAGCACCGACATGTGGACAGGCCCGAACGGCAAGGCCTACATGGTGCTGACAGGTCACTTCGTGTCAGTGCAGTGGGAGTTGCGCCAGGTGATTCTTGCTTTCGTCGAGATGCCTGGCAGGCATGGGGGGAAGGAAATTGCTAAGGCGGTGGAGAAGGTGGTGGTGCAGTGGAAGTTGCAGACGCGTTGCCTCGGTCTCACGACCGACAATGCGTCTGCAAACGTAGTTGCTCTTCGGCACCTGGCGGAGGAGGGTGAATTCTCGGGGTACTTCAGCGAGAAGGCGCACTACAGGTCCGTCTTGTAGCTGGATTCCAAGTTCCTAAACCTGGTCCCTTTTGCTTCTGTCCGCACCATAACACCCTTGTAACCTCGTTCGCCGGTTTGAAACCCTAAACCCCCCGATCCAACGCAGGTGCCTGTCGCACATTGTGAACCTGGCAGTGCAGTCTGGGCTGGGTGTGGAGTCGATGACGGTGCCCCTGAAGAAGGTGCGGGAGATTACTACGTGGGTGGGCATGTCGCCCCAGCGAGGAGCCGCCTTCATTGCGCTGCAGGTTTGGCATGGAGTGCTGCCCAATGGGCCACACAAGCTCGTTCAGGACAATCCTACGCGGTGGGGGTCCACACACGAGATGGTTAAGCGCTTCTTGCTGCTGAGGCCCTTCATCGACATGCACTTTGCCCGCGAGCAGGTACGGCTCCATTCGTATCCATTGCAATCTGTGTTGATTGGACGCGTAAGAGCTGTTGCTTTAAAGATTGTCAGAATCCACTACGTTCCAACCGTTCCCCAAGCCTAAGCACATGTACTCAATGTCATCCAACCCAATCTTGCGCCCTCACCTAATCAACAGGGCACCACGAAGGAAGAGAAGGAGAAGTGGCGAGGTTTGCGTGTGACCGATGTCGAGTGGGAGGCCTTGGGGGCTTTGGAGGGGTTTCTCCGTCCCTTTGCCAGAGTCTCCACGGCCGCCGAGGGGTCGACCTACCCCACTGTGTCGATGGTGCTGCCTTACTTCTACGCCCTCATCGACAGCCTGGAGAAGAAGCTGCACACAGGGACGCATGAACTAGTTCGGCCACTCATGTCTGCCGCGCTGGGGCACCTGAAGCAGTACGAGTTTGCCATCGGGGACGAGTACTGGATCGCGACCTTCTTGGATCCGTCCATGAAGGCCGAGTACTTCAGGATGACACACTGGGAGCTGATGCATCCAGGCATAGTGGCACGTGACGGTGGGCGGCTTAAGCCACGTATGAGTGCGGACAGGGTGGTGAGCTTGGTGCGCCGCCGAGTGGAGGAGTACCAAGCTCGAGCAGCACGTGAAGCTCCCACCCCACCACCAGCACCAGCAGCAGCAGTGGTGACACCGTTCGAGGACGACGACGACGAGTTTGTGTTCTCTAGGGCACAGCTGCAGAAGCGTGTTTCAGCTAGCGCAGCAGCGAGAGCGGGGGGAGGGGGGACGTCGGTGGGGGATGAGGTGGATCGGTACTTAGCGGAGCTGCCTGTCTCGGACGTGCCAGCGCTGCAGTACTGGCAGCGTGCGAGGAACATGGACACGTTGAGGCAGATGGCACGGGATTACCTCGCTATCCCCGCCACCTCTGCAGCTAGCGAGCGAGCTTTCTCCATGGGGAGGAACCTCATCTCCTTGCACAGGCACAGGCTGAACACTGAGCGTGTTAGCGCGAGCATGACTCTCAGGTCATGGTACACGTCACACCCTGGGAAGAGTATTGGTGAGGAACCCGGCCGCAGCGGACAGCAGGCACCACCAGAGTTGGCGCTGGAGGGAGAGGGGCTAGATGAGGGGGATGAGGAGGAGGCTGTTGCTGTGGGGGAGGGAACTGGAGTTGAGTGAGGGAGTTGCATGGGGACTTGGTGCTGTCTGGCTTTGTTTTGCATGTCCTTGACTTGTCGTTGCCCTGAACTTTGAGCTGTTGACTTATTTATCCATATTTCACTAGACCATGTGTGCGAGACATTGCGGATCTTCGCTGCTACCTTTATTTACATTCTGATTTTGCTTGTAGAACACACGCCCTGAGTTTCTAACATGCACTGAATGTGATTATAATAGAAAGTACCCCCCATGGCAAACTGTTCGAGTTCGTGGCAAACTGTTCGAGTTCGTGCCAAACACCTTAGTGTTCGGCCATGCCTCAAAACTGTTCGACACTAGACTCGAACGGGGAACACTAACATTTACGAAAACTGTTCGTGACAAACGTGTTCGGTTCGGTTCGAGTTGACCAAGTGTTCGTCAACTGTTCGAGTCAAACGTGTTCGGTTCGCTCGTTGCTCATGTCTACCAGTCGGGACCGTTTTTTTTGTTGTAGTCACAATATGCTCAAATGTCACAATAGAGTGCACAGACGGAAATCTGCAGAGCGGCTTCAAACTTTGATAGCGAACTGGTCACAACACTAAATGATGTGCTATATATACGATATGGAGGGCCTTACCGCCGTCTACAATAGGCTAGTTGTAACATTCATTTTTATTAAAAACTGACGACGTGATGCAAGTTTGAACGAGCGGCACTATCGTACGAGGTATAGTCCTAGAGCACAATCTATGAAGAAGCTCGAGTTGGGAATAACTCCAAGCCTCTACAAACTCTAAAAGTCGAGATCCAGTTAGGTAAAATAGTGTCACATAGTCCCCAACCACGAAAGGTCGAAACTACACTTCGAGAAATGTTACAGCACACAATGCCATGTACCTATTTTCACTATCTTGATGTCTAATTTTTTTTTTCGAGCTCCAAAATCTCTTGATTCATGAAATTGAGGCTCTGCTTCTTCAATATAAATTCTTCCATGAGTTACCGGAACCTTGCTACTGAGACATGCGACACGACAAATGTTCGACACACGAGAAAATAGAAAAGGCACAACGACACGCAAATGACAACGTGGCACGCAGCTAAGAAAACTCGCTATTGGTTGAACACACACATTTGACATCAAGACTCATCATTCACACTCTCAAAGAAGCATGAAGTATAGGTAATCTCATGCTCTCATTCCATTTCATGCAAACACATTCGCACGCACAAGGACAACGAGCCAAGTGCAAACCTTGAAGTTGCATCAACATTCGTGTCGAACCGGTTTAGTTCTATGCGCTTCTGCTGGTCCAATTTCAAATGAATCGAACGGTTTGACTCGAACCAGTAGCGGGTCGAGTTGAGCCTTTGGCAGAAACACATTGCATATTGGTTCTTTGCTCAACTTGGAGTTTTGTTGCGGTGCTGCTGCATGCACGTGGTCTCATGGCAGGCACGCTGCACTTCCACGTTCACGATTACTGGGCGGCCATCCGCGACTTCTCCACTTTGCACGATGCGTACCCGCCCGACCCACTTCTCTTTAACGCCCTCGTGCGTAAGCCTGTAAAGGATTTCGAGAATTATTCGATATTCATTCGAATACCCGAATTTGAGAGAATAGGAAACGACCGTGCATTCGAAAACATTCGCATCACGAGTATTCGTTGCTGTAGAATATTTGGGTTATTCGTTACTATTCGGTATTCTACCATCAACCCCCCCTCATACTTTCCCTAAATGCGGCTATCATCTTTAGCAATCTGTGTACAAGCGGCCTCATATCAGCCATGCCCAAAAGTCGAGCAAGATAGTTGCTGGTGAGGGGTTAGGGAAAGCGTGTGATGCGGGATTGAGTCGTGTTGTTGGTAGTATAAGGCACACAGTATCACCCTGTGTCGAACATGCATTAGCTGTTCGACACTGCCTATACGAAATTTATCATTCCACACTTAATCGTATTCGATTCAGATTCGGCAGTATTCGAATCGTATTCGTATTCGGCTTTGGGTCAGTATTCGAATCTTATATGTATTCGATTTTGGGTCAGTATTCGGTCAAATAAGAAACCAGAGAGTATTCGGAATATATTCAGAAAAAAAATATTCGTATTCGTATTCGTTTTTACAGGCTTACTTGTGCGCTCCTGTGCTGGCCCCTCTCGCCCCATCCACGAATGCCCACTTTCGCGTCTCTGCTTGCATGTGCACCTCTCCCGTGTTCCCGTACTATCATTGCTTGCTGCCTCTCTGACCGTGCTTCAGCATGATGGGGGCCACACCATATCCGTTCACCACCCAGGTGCTTCTCATGTTTTTTGTCCTAAGTTCGTTTCTACTCACCCTTTCAAATGCCACCTCTCATCATTCATGTTCTCGCCTCCTCCATATTGCCACTCCTCTTCTCTGCTTCCACTTCCCCATTCCCCCCTTGTCTCTTGCACGCAGGGTCTGGCGCTAGCAGGGGCGGGGGAGTGGCGGCGGGCGGCGGAGGTGTTTGAGCGCGGGGCGGCGCTCTTCCCGCAGGCCGTGCAGCTGTGGCTGGAGGGTGGGCGCGCGTTCAAGGAGCTGGGCGCCGTGCAGCCGGCACTGCATGCGCTCGAGCGAGCCGTGGCTATGGAGGAGTGAGGCACGGGCAAGGGGGTCTTTGGCAGGGGCAAGGGGAACTTTGGCAGGGAAACATGGGCAAGGGAAGAGAAAAGACATGCTTTGTTGTGCTCCACTGCCATCCCAAATGCTCCACTGCCATCCCAAATTCTCCACTGCCATCCCAAATGCTCCACTGCCATCCCAAATGCTCCACTGCCATCCCAAATGCTCCACTGCCATCCCAAATTCTCCACTGCCATCCCAAATGCTCCACTGCCATCCCCAATGCTCCACTGCCATCCCAAATGCTCCACTGCCATCTCAAATGCTCCACTGCCATCCCCAATGCTCCACTGCCATCCCCAATGCTCCACTGCCATCTCAAATGCTCCACTGCCATCTCAAATGCTTCACTGCCATCCCCAATGCTCCACTGCCATCCCCAATGCTCCACTGCCATCCCCAATGCTCCACTGCCATCCATCCATCCATCCATCCATCCATCCATCCATCCATCCATCCATCCATCCATCCATCCATCCATCCATCCATCCATCCATCCATCCATCCATCCATCCATCCACCCACCCACCCACCATGCATGTGCGTGTGCCCATCAGGTCAACGGTGGCATACTACCGCCTGGCATCGCTGCACCAGCTCACAGGCAATCACAGGTGCTCCTGCACGCAGAGGGTGTGAGACAAGGAGGGAGTAGAAGTTATGGGAGGGGTAGGAAGGAAGAAGTTGTGATGAAGTGAAGTAATGGGAGGCTGAAGACGGGTGCACGGGGGCTTGGCTGTACCGACCGACCTCGCCACCCGGGCAAAGTGGCCTCGCGGCCTACCTGGGGTGCTTGTGCCAACACATGAGGGGGGCAGGTGGCATGTGGGGGGCAGGTGGCATGTGGGGGGCAGGTGGCATGTGGGGGGGAGGTGGCATGCAGGGGACAGGTGGCATGCGGGGTGTGGGGTGGAATGGGGGAGGTGGATACGTGCACAGAGATGGAGAGGCAGTGAAGCACATCGCCAGATGAGCTATGTAGGAAGGACGGCTGTTGTAAAATCTGAGTGTGCGCATGCTCATGCATTCATACGACGGGTTTGGTATGAGTTTGGAGTCGAACTTATTGATGAATCACACACTCATCAAGCATGTGCCTGCCTCTCTCTTGTTCCTCAGCGCTGTTGACCCTTGGGTTTAGGGTTGAGGGTTTAAAATTTGGGTCCCACGAAATGCAGCCAACCCATGCACGCATGGGGCTGTGCTTCCCTCCCCATGCGAGCTATGCGGGGTGGCAGGGCGGCGATGGAGAGTGCGCAGAAGGGGCTGCGGGGCAACCCGGGTGACATCGAGTTGAACCACGCTGTGGCCTCCGCCCTCCATGCTATCGGCGACTTCCCCAGCGCTGTCAGCCGCCACCCACCACCCATGCCATGCCCACATGCCCACATCCACATGCGGACATGCTCATGCCCATGCACATGCCCATGCCCATGCGTTGCGAGAATGGGCATGCGCTGTATGTGAGCATGCACTCCATCCTTCCTGGATTTCCCCTCACCATGTCTGTCCAAGCCACCTATACATGTGCCACCTCGCTCCATTAAACCCCAACCCTTCACTTTTCCACCCTCACTGACTGGCCCCTTGGCCCCACATGCATGCAGCTGAGGCAGTACGACCACGTGCTCAGCCTCAATACGGGGGACACCCCGGGTGCCTTCCATGTGCTGCAGTTCATGGCCTTCTATCAGGTAGGGCGGCAGTTCATGGCCTTCTATCAGGTAGGGCTGTCAGATTGCCATCCTCATTGTAACCTACATCAATCCTATAAGCGTAGGATAGAGATAGCCACCCAAACTTAGTTTGGGTGTAGAACTAGGGATAACCCTAGTTGGGGGTTGGAACTCAAACCTTGGCCCCCAAGGTTGGGTTGGGAATTATTGGTCCCCCAATAATGTTGAACCACTTGGTCAACATTATTGGTCCCCCCAATAATCCCTCAACCCAACTTATTGGTGGGGGCCAATAATGTTGGCTTGGTTCCAACCAACCCCCCCCCCCCCCCCCTAGCACTACTATGTATACCCCAATCTCTCCTCATGAAATCAATGGTTCTTCTCACGTTTTCTCACATGGTAATCAAAGCAAACACGGCTCACACCTTCTTCGATCCTAAGAACCACACCTCCGCGTGCCTTAACACGCCCCCCTCCCTCACTCGACAACTAGGTCGCTCTTAGCGCCAAGTGCGCTCCTACGCCGTCACGGCCCCCCTCCCCGCGCGAAATTTCAGCACCTCTCCCCCCCTTCCTAAGGTCGATTCCGCCACTTACGGCCCTCCCCTCTCTCCCGCGAGCACGCTAACCGTCGGGGCGACCGCCGACCGCCGCGGACGCGACGAGCGCGGGCGACCGCCGCGGACGCGACGAGCGCGGGCGACCGCCGCCCGCCGCGGACGCGACGAGCGCGGGCGACCGCCGCCCGCCGCGGACGCGACGAGCGCGGGCGACCGCCGCCCGCCGCGGACGCGACGAGCGCGGGCGACCGCCGACCGCCGCGGACGCGACGAGCGCGGGCGACCGCCGCCCGGCGCGGACGCGACGAGCGCGGGCGACCGCCGCCCGCCGCGGACGCGACGAGCGCGGGCGACCGCCGCCCGCCGCGGACGCGACGAGCGCGGGCGACCGCCGCGGACGCGACGAGCGCGGGCGACCGCCGCCCGCCGCGGACGCGACGAGCGCGGGCGACCGCCGCGGACGCGACGAGCGCGGGCGACCGCCGACCGCCGCGGACGCGACGAGCGCGGGCGGTCGAGCGCGGGCGACCGCCGCGGACGCGACCCGCGCGGGCGACCGCCGCGGACGCGACCCGCGCGGGCGACCGCCGCGGACGCGACCCCAACCGCCACGACAGCCGCGGACGGGCGCATCCGCCACGACAAACGCGGGCGCTCGTCGTGGCCTAAACCGCAGCGACAAGGGCGGACAGCGCTGCTACGGGCGACACGGTGCAGCCACGGGCGCCAAGGCGCAGCTGTAGACGGACAGCGCTGCTACGCGCGACACGGCGCAGTCACACGTGACAAAGCGCAGCCGCGGGTAACCCAGCGCAGCCGCACGCACCGTGACCGCACTACCCTTCCAGGTGGTGTCGTCCCCCCCTTCCTTGACCGCACCACCTCTCCAGGTGCTGTCGTCCCCCCTCCCCTCCCTCCCCCCCCCTCTTCCCCCTCTCCTCCTCCTCCTCCTCCTCCTCATGGCGGACGACTCTACTCCTCTTGAGCTCGGAGCCATTGACAAGCTCGAACTTCTCCATGACACTACGGCTGTAAACTGGGCGTTGTTTGAAGACACACTTCACACGCACCTTGGCTCCGTCATCATCCAAGACTACTGCCTTCTTGATGTAGTCCACGAGCACCCTAATGGCCTCCCACCTGTTTCCCCCCCTCCTCTTGAACCTCCTCCCCCTGACGCCCCTCCTCCACCCGAGCCTCTTCCCGACCCCCCGCGTGCCCAAGTTCATGATGACAACCCGGATCGCTGGGGGGCCAACCTGAACGCCTACAACAAGCTTCGCGATACCTACACCCTCCAGCGTGAGGCGTACCGTGTTGCAGAAGAGGCACACGCTACAGCCACTGCACGCATCCTCTCCTACGCTCAAGATGAGAAAGACTATGCTGAAGGGCTTCGCAAGCTCCACAAAGATGTTGCAGCGTGGCGTGTTGCGGATCGTCGTGCACTCGCCATCATCTTCTCCTGCATCCCCTCTCACTTCAAACGCGACCTTCGTCCCACCTCCTCCTCTGGACTCTGGAAAATTTTATCTACTCAGTACGACCGTCAGGATCTTCGCTCCCTCCTCGCACTCTTTCGCAAATTCCAAGACATCACCCTTGACTCCTCCCCCACTGCTGCGGCCTACACCCGTCGCCTCATTGACACTGCACAACGCCTCAATGACCGAGGCATTGTCATCTCTGAGTCCCTTCTCACTGCACGCATCCTCGACTGCCTCCCTCCCACATATGACACCTACCGCATCACCTTCACCTCCCGCTACCGTCGTCCTCCTCCTGTAGCTGACACCATCGAGTGGCTACTTGACAGTGAAGCAGACATTCAACGTGACTCTGCCACTGTCAATGCTGTCCAGACCCGCAAAGCTACCACAGGCAACCACAACAGCGGAGGAGGTGGCGGCCCAGGTGGCACTGGCAGTGGTGGTGGTGGACGTGGTAGTGGGCGAGGAGGAGGACGTGGTGGTGGCCGAGGTGGTGGCCGTGGTGGGCGTGGCGGACACCCCCCATCCTCGGGCACCCTCCCCCCGTGTCAGTACATCATTTGCTATGGCTCCAACAAAGGTCAGCCATGCTCACAGACCACTCATACCATTGACACATGCTTCAAAGCCCTCACTGACGAATGGTTTGACCGTGGCAATGTTGGCACCCCACCTCGCTGGAACACTGTTTTCCCATGCCCCTCTCCCCATGACATCCGCACTCTCCCCGCCTATCAACCCTCCACCCCCAACCTCCACAATATCCTCACTCAACATCTCCCATCTCACATCCTTCACCAATTCCAACATCTCCTCCCCTCATCCACCCCCACTCCCACTCCTCCTCCACCCACACCTCCGCCTCACGCTTCTCCCCTTCACTACCCTCCACCCTATGCTGGCTGGCCTTACCCTCCTTACCCACCTCTTGGATATGGTCATGGACCTACTGCACCTGCTGCTAATCTTGCTGAACAGCCCTCCTCCTCTTCCAACCCTCCTGGCTTTACTCCATTCCTCTCTGCTGGATTCATAGGACATGTTAGCACTGCTCCTGCTGATTCTCTGTATGCTCATGCTATTAATGAGTCTCTCTTCCAGTACTCTGCCTTTTCCTCCTCCTCTTCCTGCCTTGAGTTTATCATTGACAGTGGAGCCACACACACTATCCTCCGGGATGCAGGCACACTGGTACCTCTCCACACTCCCTCCACTATACACGGAGCTGACTCCAGCTTCACCATCACAAGTCGACACACCTCCACCCTCCCGTGTCCCATCTTCCCCTCAGGTACAGTCACAGGTCTATACATCCCCTCCCTACGCAACAATCTTGTTGCATTATGTGACCTCACCAGGTTCGGTATCACCGCCCTCTTCCCCGGTCATGCACGCCAGTGCGACCTCTTTCACACCACCACTGGCCGCTTCATCTGTCGCATTCCCCTCTGCCCTCACACAAACCTGTACACATACCGCACCCCTCGCACCTCCATTCACCACCTCATCGCCCCCACCTCACCCCCTCCCCTTCCCTCACCTCCCCTCCCCCTTCCCTCCCCTCTCCTCCCCTCACCTCCCCTCCCCCTTCCCTCCCCTCCTCCCATCCCCTCCCCCCCTCTCCCCTCCCCTCCTCCCCCCCCCCTCCCTCCCCAAGCTCCTCTTGTCACTGTCGTGACCTCACCCACCCCGCAGTTCTCCTTCACCATAGGTTGGGTCATCCCAACTTTGCCACCCTCCGTCAAACTGTCTCCACTCAACTCCTCGACGGCCTCCCCCTCACCCTCCCCCCTCTCCCCCCATCACCCTCCCCTCCCTGCTCAGTATGCGTTGAAAGCAAACTGAAATAGGCCCCCCACAAGAGTCATCCCTCTTTTTCTCCCCAACCCCTTGATCTCGTCCACATGGACCTCTAGGGCCCCAATCCTTCCCCCACCAGGCAAGGTCATAAATACCTGCTCATCCTGGTGGATGACCACAGCCGGTACTCCTCAGTCTCCCTCCTTCGCACGAAGGCGGAGGCCCCGGCTGCTATTATTGCCTGGGCTGATCAAGCACGCACCCATTTCAAACGCCCTGTCTCCCGCTTCCACTCGGATGGCGGTGGTGAGTTCCTTAATAACATGCTCTCATCCTACTGCACCACTCATGGCATTATTCACACCTACACCCTACCTCATTCCCCTCAGCAAAATGGCGTGGCGGAAAGCAGGGTCCGTGAGGTCACCAAGACTGCTCGGTGCCTCATGGTCCATGCCTCCTGCCCGCCCTCTCTCTGGGGCTATGCCATCCTCCACGCTGCCATCCTCACTAACCTGTACCCTCATCCCTCCCGACCCACCACCACTCCCACTGCACTCTGGACGTCCAAAAAGCCCGACATCACCCCCCTGCGCGTGTGGGGGTCCCTGGCGTATGTTCTCATACACCCTGTCGACCGCTCACGACAAGCTGGGAAGCTAACCTCCCGCACTCTCCCCTGCATTTTCCTTGGTCACAACACCTCCTCCCCGGACTATCTCTTCCTCCATCCCCCCTCATGTCGCCTCATTCGTAGTCGGGATGTAGAGTTCGATGAAGCCCACCCGTACTACACCTCCCCCAAAGTCCCTAACCCCCTCCCTCTAACCACCCGTCCCCTCCTCTGGACTAACACCATTCCCCCCCCACCCCCTCTCCCCTCCCCTTCCCTTCTCCCCCCCCCCACCATTGTCCCTCCTGCACCCCCACCCCCTCCCCCCTCTCCCCCCGCCTCATCAGGAGACATCCTTGACCCCGTCCACCCTCCCTCCCCACCTGCTGCCCCTCCCCCTCCCTCCCCATCCCTCCCCACCCCCCCCCCCTCCTTCCCCTCCCTCCCTCCATGCACAACATCCCCCACCTCCCCCCTCCCCACGCCCTCCCCCACTCACTCCACCACCATACTCCCGTCCTCTACTTCCTACTCCCCCTCTCATACTCCGCCACTACCCTTACACCCGCTCCACGGTCCCCGTTCTTGGTACCCCAAGGTCCACCCCCCCCTCCCTCCACTCTCTCACATCCATCCCCCTTCTCCGCCACCATAGCACCTCCCCTCTCCCCCGCACCAGCCCCTCAGGTTCTCTTAGCAGTCGCGCTCCCATCTCCTTGCCCCTCACGGCACCTCAGCGAAGCCGAGCTGCAATGCAGCTGTCTCCCCGCCCCGACCCTCAGCGCAGCAGAGCACCAGTGCAGCTGTGTCCCCGCATCGGCCCGACCCTCCAGCGCAGCTGTCTTGCAACTCCACCGCCTCCTTTTCCTCCTCCGCCCTCTCCGGACCTCTCTGAAGACTCTCACGATGAGCTTCTTTTCCTCCATCTCCTCTCGCCCACCATCGCCCCCGTCGTCCGCACAATGGCTGGCACTACTGTCCTTCTCTTCTCCACCACCCCCACCATCTACGAACCCACCACCTATGAGCAAGCGCTTGCTTGTCTTGACGCACCTCTCTGGATCGAGGCCATGGTCAAGGAGAGCAACGCCTTCATCAGCAATCGCTTCTTTCTCGACATTCGTCGTCCCTCTAAGCACAACGTGGTCAAAGGCAGGTGGCACTTCCGAGTGAAACTGCTCCCTGGCAACGCTCCGGTCTACAAGGCTTGATATGTGGCAAAAGGCTTTACACAGACCTATGGCTCAGACTTCTTCGAGACCTACTCACCCACCGCCACCCCGCCAGTCATTCGCGTGTTCTTGGACTTTGTTGGCAGACGCGGGATGCTCCTTCACTCCATGGACGTCACCACCGCCTTTCTGCAAGGCGACCTTCATGAGCTCATTTTTCTGGAACGTCTCAAAGGCTTCCACGCTCCTCACGACCCTGCCACTGTTTGGAAGCTGCTACGCCCTGTCTACGGGCTCAAACAAGCACCTCGGGAATGGCACGCCAAACTCTCCTCCACCCTTCGCGCACTTGGCTTGCGCCCCTCTCGTGCCGCCTCTTTCCTCTTCCTCCGCCTGACCCCATCACCCTTCTACATCCTCGTCTACGTCGACGACATGCTGCTGGCCGCTGACACAACTGCTGAACTCCAGGAGGTCAAGGATGAGCTGCAGAAACGCCTCGCCTGCAAAGACCTGGGGGAGGTCCGCAACTACCTCGGCATGGAGATCACCCGCGACCTCACTGCCAAGACCATCACCCTCTCTCAATCTTTTTACATCGAGAAGATTCTTGAGAGGTTTGGCATGTCCAGATCAAAACCCATCTCCACACCACTTGCATTTGGGCATCGGCTCTCCCCTCCCACCACTCCTATCACCTCCCCTCATCCCTATGCAGAACTTGTTCGGGCCCTGATGTACGCCATGGTCTGCACTCGTCCCGACCTTGCATACCCAGTCAGTGTTCTGGCGCAGTTCGTTGGCACCGGCAGGAATGGTGACGAGCATTGGAAGGCGGCCATGCGTGTTCTTCGCTATCTTCAAGGCACGAAGGACCATGTCCTCACCCTTGGTGGTGTGAACCCACCCATTCTTCACGGCTTCAGCGACTCATCCTGGGCCGATGCACAACCCGACCGTCGCAGCTCCCAAGGATATGGCTTCACACTCGGGAGCGGCCTCATCAGCTGGCGCTCCACCCGCTCCTCCTCCGTCGCCCTCTCATCCTGTGAAGCCGAACTATACGCGGTCACGATGGCGGCTCAAGAAGCACGTTGGCTCAGCTATCTGCTGACCGACCTTGGCTCCCCACAGCCCTGCCCCACCCTGTGGTGTGACAACGACAGTACCATTCACCTCACCAAGGAAGCCGTCTTTCATGGTCGCTCCAAACACATCGAGCTTCGCTACTACTTCGTTCGCGACCTTGTCCAAGATGGTCACATCACCGTTCGCAAAATCGCCTCCTCCGACAACCTCGCCGATCTCTTCACCAAGGCTCTCCACCGCTCTGACCACTCTGCACTTCTGCGTCTCCAGGGACTTGCTCCCCCCGGTGGCTGATTCAGGGGTTGTTGTTCTCTCTCTTCCCACGCTTATGGATTTCTGTAGGTTAAGGGGTTGTGTCAGATTGCCATCCTCATTGTAACCTACATCAATCCTATAAGCGTAGGATAGAGATAGCCACCCAAACTTAGTTTGGGTGTAGAACTAGGGCTAACCCTAGTTGGGGGTTGGAACTCAAACCTTGGCCCCCAAGGTTGGGTTGGGAATAATTGGTCCCCCCAATAATGTTGAACCACTTGGTCAACATTATTGGTCCCCCCAATAATCCCTCAACCCAATTTATTGGTGGGGACCAATAATGTTGGCTTGGTTCCAACCAATCCCCCCCCCCCCCCTAGCACTACTATGTATACCCCAATCTCTCCTCATGAAATCAATGGTTCTTCCTCACGTTTTCTCACAAGGGCGGCAGTTCATGGCCTTCTATCAGGTAGGGCGGCAGTTCATGGCCTTCTATCAGGTAGGGCGGCAGTTCATGGCCTTCTATCAAGTAGGGCGGCAGTTCATGGCCTTCTATCAGGTAGGGCGGCAGTTCATGGCATTCTATCAAGTGTCGATTGTATTGGAAAGCGTTGGCCTTACATAGAAGAAGAAAAGAGGGGTAACCAGGTGCAATCCATAATTATTGGATGGCTAACGTTGTTGTTTAACCACTATTGTTGGGGGCGTGCCACCAATGATTAATTGGTTGACGACGGCCAACAAAGTTGTCCCCTGTCACCATAACTGGGTGTAACACTAGCACGATTGTAACATCATGTGCTATATTTTAACAGGGGCGGCAGTTCATGGCCTTTTACCAGATGTTCCACTTCTCGTCCAAAGCTGTCTTTGCCCATCACATATCCCTATGGCTGCACCGCTGTGCCGCAGAGGGAGATAGCGGCGTACACGGTGCTCCGCCTTGACGCCCCTTTCACCGCCTTCCACCTCGACCACCACCTTGACGTCAACTTCCGTGTACGTTCCCGGAAAGGTCCAAGTAGTTTCTGGGAAAGTTTCGGGTATTGGTGCCGTATTGGATGGTTGGTGCTACTGGCGTGGTTGACACCCTTGCTGCTCCATGCGCACTGCAAGGATGTCAACCACACCAGTAGCACCACCAGCATGTCTCGTCTCAGCATGTCTCGTCTCTGCATGTCTCGTCTCGTGCTGCATGTCTCGTCTCATGCTGCATGTCTCGTCTCATGCTGCATGTCTCGTCTCATGCTGCATGTCTCGTCTCATGCTGCATGTCTCGTCTCATGCTGCATGTCTCGTCTCATGCTGCATGTCTCGTCTCATGCTGCATGTCTCGTCTCATGCTGCATGTCTCGTCTCATGCTGCATGTCTCGTCTCATGCTGCATGTCTCGTCTCATGCTGCATGTCTCGTCTCATGCTGCATGTCTCGTCTCATGCTGCATGTCTCGTCTCATGCTGCATGTCTCGTCTCATGCTGCATGTCTCGTCTCATGCTGCATGTCTCGTCTCATGCTGCATGTCTCGTCTCATGCTGCATGTCTCGTCTCATGCTGCATGTCTCGTCTCATGCTGCATGTCTCGTCTCATGCTGCATGTCTCGTCTCATGCTGCATGTCTCGTCTCATGTTGCTCATCCGATACCCTCGTGTCATGGTGCATGCGTGATGTCATGTGATGGCATTGCACGGTGCTTATGGTGTGCTGGGATGTGATGGCATGGCACAGTGCTTATGGTGTGCTGGGATGTGATGGCATGGCATGGTGCTTATGGTGTGCTGGGATGTGATGGCATGGCATGGTGCTTATGGTGTGCTGGGATGTGTTGGCATGGCATGGTGCTTATGGTGTGCTGGGATGTGATGGCATGGCATGGTGTTTATGGTGTGCTGGGACGTGATGGCATGGCATGGAGGCAGTACCGCATGGCATGGCTAGCCATGCTTGACATCATGCAGCGAGTTGCATCCACGTGGCACGCCATGGCCTCTGCCACGTCATCACAGAACAACAAAGGATCTCATGATGCCACGTCATCACGTGAAGCCATGTGCTCACCTGCTGCAGCACTGGACAGTGAGGCCGCTGCACCTCCAGCCTCGCCTGACTCCCCCTCCCGCTCCATGCCTCCTGCCTCACCCACTGCTCCTACTGCTGCCACTGCGCCTGACTCCGCTGTGGCTGGTAGGAGCCAGAAGGGAAGTAACAGCAATAGAGGGAAGGGTGAGGAGGGCAGGCGGCGCAGGGGCAGAGGCGGCAACAGCAAGAGCAAAGGCAGGGGGCAAGGAGGCGAGGTGATTGGCGGGTGGAGGGATGTGTTTGACAGCATCGTGCGGTGGAGGCAGATTGCCGAGCCCACCGACACCGTTGCGTGGATCGATGCTCTCAAGTGAGTCGCGTGGATCGATGCTCTCAAGTGAGTCGCGTGGATCGATGCTCTCAAGTGAGTCGCGTGGATCGATGCTCTCAAGTGAGTCACGTGGATCGATGCTCTCAAGTGAGTCGCGTGGATCGATGCTCTCAAGTGAGTCGCGTGGATCGATGCTCTCAAGTGAGTCGCGTGGATCGATGCTCTCAAGTGAGTCGCGTGGATCGATGCTCTCAAGTGAGTCGCGTGGATCGATGCTCTCAAGTGAGTCGCGTGGATCGATGCTCTCAAGTGAGTCGCGTGGATCGATGCTCTCAAGTGAGTCGCGTGGATCGATGCTCTCAAGTGAGTCGCGTGGATTGATGCTCTCAAGTGAGTCGCGTGGATCGATGCTCTCAAGCGAGTCGCGTGGATCGATGCTCTCAAGTGAGTCGCGTGGATCGATGCTCTCAAGTGAGTCGCGTGGATCGATGCTCTCAAGTGAGTCGCGTGGATCGATGCTCTCAAGTGAGTCGCGTGGATCGATGCTCTCAAGTGAGTCGCGTGGATCGATGCTCTCAAGTGAGTCGCGTGGATCGATGCTCTCAAGTGAGTCGCGTGGATCGATGCTCTCAAGTGAGTCGGGTCGATGGTCTCAAATCAGTTGTGTTGCCCATCCCTCCCTCCATGCCATGTGCGGGCAGCAGGAATGAGTTTGAGGGTGGGTTTGGGTCCATCACATCCATGGCGGTGGGCCCCTCACGCAACCTCAAGTACCACCCGCTCACCCCCCGCGCCCTCGCCCTCCTGCGCTCCCGCCTCCTACAAACCCGCCTCGCCGCCAACGCTGCTGGCTCGCCGCTCCCTCTGCCAACCAGCCGACTGCCCGAGGTGAGTGGTGCAGGTCAAGAGTCTCTGCGTGTGTGCCCCTCTCACTGCCTGTGTGCCCCTCTCACTGCGTGTGTGCCCCTCTCACTACGTGTGTGCCCCTCTCACTGCGTGTGTGCCCCTCTCACTGCGTGTGTGCCCCTCTCACTGCGTGTGTTCACCTCTCACTGCGTGTGTTCACCTCTCATTGCGTGTGTGCCCCTCTGTCTTGTGATCGTCACATGAAGGACGAAATGAAGAAACTCAAATGTTATTTGGATTAGAATTTGATGTGTTTCGTGCCTTGTCTTCTCTTGCTGCTGCCATGGCGAGTGGGCGTGCTGCCCAGAGCATGCTCACCAGCAGTCCACGTCCACGGATCACTCGTCTCCTTGCTGCCGGTCATCGCCCATCCCGCCCCACATGTGCCACCCTGCTCTGCCTGCCCTGGGGTTTGCGCAGATCGAGAGGGCGGAGGGGGTGGGCGAGGTGCATGCGGTGGTGGGGGAGAACTTCTTTGTCACCACCGAGTGCCATAGCCTCGCTTCCCCGGGGTGAGCGCCCGGCTGCCTGCCTGCCTGCCTGCCTGCCTGCCTGCCTGCCTGCCTGCCTGCATGCCTGCCCGCCCGCCCACCCGCCCGCCCGCCCGCCCGCCCGCCTGCCTGCCCGCCCGCCCTGCAAGGCTGTTGGGGGTGAGGGGGTGAGGGGTGAGGGGGTTAAGAGGGGTGAGGGGGTTAAGAGGGGTGAAGGGGTTAAGAGGGGTGAGGGGGTTAAGAGGGGTGAGGAGGTTAAGAGGGGTGAGGGGCGTGAGTGGGCTGAGGGGGGTGAAGCGCCAATGGTGGCTGGATTGACGAGCATCACTCCCCGCATGCCATGATGTCGTAGGGGGTCCATTCGTAGTGCCCGTGAGTGGCACTTGCGATCACTCACCTCACACAATGGCTGGCTGGCTGGCTGGGTGGGTGGGTGGGTGGGTGGGTGGGTGCGCCGCACAAATGTTTTCCTTGGCTTGGCTTGCAGCACACACTGCCACAGCCACAGCCTTGCATGTCTCGCAGCTTGCCTTGCCATACGCCTGGCCTGTGTTACAGCGTGCAGTGCCTGTGTTGCCCACATGTGGATGTCAACTCGCTTTGCCCGTGCCATCATCTGATGCAATCATCCTGTTTATCCCTGTCATGTGTTTAACCCGCCACTCACTCACCTGTCTCCTCCTGCCCCCCCTGTTCTCTGCCCCCCCTGTTCTCTGCCCCCCCTGTTCTCTGCCCCCCCTGTTCTCTGCCCCCCCTGTTCTCTGCCCCCCCTGTTCTCTGCCCCCCCTGTTCTCTGCCCCCCCTGTTCTTTGCCCCCCCTGTTCTCTGCCCCCCCTGTTCTCTGCCCCCCCTGTTCTCTGCCCCCCCTGTTCTCTGCCCCCCCTGTTCTCTGCCCCCCTTGTTCTCTGCCCCCCCTGTTCTCTGCCCCCCCTGTTCTCTGCCCCCCCTGTTCTCTGCCCCCCCTGTTCTCTGCCCCCCCTGTTCTCTGCCCCCCCTGTTCTCTGCCCCCCCTGTTCTCTGCCCCCCCTGTTCTCTGCCCCCCCTGTTCTCTGCCCCCCCTGTTCTCTGCCCCCCCTGTTCTCTGCCCCCCCTGTTCTCTGCCCCCCCTGTTCTCTGCCCCCCCTGTTCTCTGCCCCCCCTGTTCTCTGCCCCCCCTGTTCTCTGCCCCCCCTGTTCTCTGCCCCCCCTGTTCTCTGCCCCCCCTGTTCTCTGCCCCCCCTGTTCTCTGCCCCCCCTGTTCTCTGCCCCACCGCCCTCGCATGTGGCGGTGCCAGCGTGGTGCTCAACGGTACGCAGCTCACCGTTGTCCAGTCGTGAGTGCTGCCCCACGCTCCTCGCCTCTGCTCCCCACTCATTCCCCTCCACTCATTCCCCTTCACTCATTCCCCTCCACTCATTCCCCTCCACTCATTCCCCTTCACTCATTCCCCTCCACTCATTCCCCTCCACTCATTCCCCTCCACTCATTCCCCTTCACTCATTCCCCTCCATTCATTCCCCTCCACTCATTCCCCTCCACTCATTCCCCTCCACTCATTCCTCTCCACCCATTCCTGTCCACTCATTCCTCCCCACTCATTCCTCCCCACTCATTCCTCTCCACTCATTCTCCTCCCCTCATTCCTCCCCACTCATTCCTCCCCACCCATTTCTCTCCATTCTCCTCCCCTCATTCCTCCCCACTTATTCCTCTCCACTCATTCCTCGCCACTCATTCCTCTCCACTCATTCACCTCCCCTCATTCCTCCCCACTCATTCCTCTCCACTCATTCCTCCCCACTCATTCCTCTCCACTCATTCTCCTCCTCTCATTCCTGCCCACTCATTCCTCTCCACTCATTCCTCCCCACTCATTCCTCTCCACTCATTCACCTCCCCTCATTCCTCCCCACTCATTCCTCTCCACTCATTCCTCCCCACTCATTCCTCTCCACTCATTCTCCTCCTCTCATTCCTGCTCACTTATTCCTCTCCACTCATTCCTCCCCACTCATTCCTCTCCACTCATTCCTCCCCACTCATTCCTCTCCACTCATTCCTCCCGACTCATTCCTCTCCACTCATTCTCCTCCTCTCATTCCTCCCCACTCATTCCTCTCCACTCATTCCTCCCCACTCATTCCTCTCCACTCATTCCTCTCCACGCTACTCACACGCCACTCCCACTCATCCGCATGCCTCTCGCCTTGGTGTGCCGCACTCGCTCAACTGCGTCTGCAATGCCTCACCACCATGCTGCCCTCGCCCACCCAGTCCCCTACTGTCTTCCCCACTGCGCCCCTTGGCGTGCGTGCATGGCAGGGGGGCGGGGTTTGACTTTGCCATCCGCACGCCCGTCACGCCGCCGCTCTGGAAGCACTTTGATGCCGAGCTCGCTGCCGCGTGCCGGGTGAGTGGGGTGGGTGAGCGGTCAACAGTGAGGGAGGCAGGTGAGTGGAGGCAAGGAGTGCCGCATACACACTGATGCTGCTGCTGCATGTGCATTTGCATGTATTTCTCACTTTCCCCTCTGACCTACCTCTGCCTCCTCACCCACCGATGCCTTGTCATCGGGAGTGGCAGGACCTATGTGCCGCCGTGTTGGATCGTGCCCTGGAGACAGCTGATGCTGCCCGCTATCGCCAACGCATTCAGGAAAATATTCTGCGAATCGGATACTATTGGTAATTGCGGTGCAGGGGTGTGCTGTCACCTGGACCCGCACACAAGAGGCCGTGCAGGGGTGTGTGCGCCCACCAGGATGAGTGTTGGGGGGCCAGTGGGGGGTGTGTTGGGGGGCAGTGCAGAAGGAGAGGTGGACAGTTGGGAAGATACAAGCTACATTTCAACTCTTCCACACTCGTCTGTCTTTTCCCGTGCTTCATATCTCCTCTCCCCTACATCTCCTGCCCTACCTGTCTCTCCTCCCCTCTCTCCCCTCTCTCCTGTCCCCCATATGTTGCCGCGCTCGGCCCATGGGCGGAGCAGGTACCAGTTCATGCCATTGACGAGAGGCAGTGCCATGGTGGGGCTCATCGCCGTGCTCGGTCTCTCCATGGCCGCCGGCATGCTCACCACCGCCCCCATTCCGCATGGCATGCAGGTCCCTGCTCTGCCCCTTTACTCTGCATGGCATGCAGGTCCCTGCTCTGCCCCTTTACTCTGCTCACCTCACCTCGCATTTCAGTTATTTGGTGCTGCTGTTTACGTTCCTCCCTTCACTTCATGGTTGCCACAGCTGCCAGCAATAGCTGATCCCTCTTGATGCTCTCTCCGCCTCCTCACTCTCTGCCCTCCCCTCCCCCCTCTTCCCCACACCTCTGCAGGTGGACTGGGAGGCCATCCTGGTGCCGCACTTTGCAGCCTTCAACGCGTCGGTGGCGCCGTGGCTGTACGACCCCACCACCGTGCTCTCTGCGCCCTCCCACCTGCCGCTCGTGGCCCACGTGCTGCCCTCCACACGCCACGTCATCGCTGCTCTCAACCACCAAGGCTGACCTTCTGTAAGAATGGGTCAAGATACTAGTAGTCTTGGAACCTGGTCCTAGAGCCGACGAATCTTAGGAGCCAACTTGCGCATGAACCGTGCTAGGAACAAGAGTTTTTTTCAAATAAGGTGTTTCTCAACAAGAAAAATTCTTAACCTAAAGGGTTTGGGAGGTGGTACACTCTAAAAAGTGTACACCACAAATTTCCCAACTAATCTATTCTACATTGTCAGAGTGAGATTCACTAGAACAAACATGTTAATTGGAGCAATCCGAATTAACCTAACAACAACAGTACAAGATATAGATGCTGTTGAGATAATATCGAGACTTAAGCACTTCAAGGAAGTCGTGTAGTACAGTACAGTTAGTACAGTGCGAGACGTAATAGCAAAGCACCGATAGGCTGACGTCAGCAAAGCGCTACGCGCCCTAGGATGACGTCAGCAAGTAGCTGTAGGCCTCGCGAATAGTCACGTACCATTTCAAAACAGGAATAGCGTGAATAGCACATTACAATAGGCAAATAGGTACTTTACCGTATTCCCCCGGATAAAAGACCCCCCCATAATAATGTTCCCGGTCTTTAATACAGGGGGGGGTATATTATTCAAGACTGTTTTCCTTATACCCCCCATTTGGGGTGAAATCATTAAAAGACCCCCCCCCAACCTCAACAGTGTTTTTTAGATGTTAATTCATGTCAATTAAGCAAGCAGTGGCACATGGTAGGCCACAGGAGTCACAAAATACAATCAAGGCAGCCTCTCAAAACCCAGCTAGCTCCACTCTTCACCCACCACCTTGGAATCCGCCCCCCGCCTTGCTACTCATCTTCGTCACCCGCCACCCACTCATCTACCTCAGCCCCCTCATAGCGACCAGGGGATCACCATTCATCCCCTTCGTCGCTCCAGTCGTCAGCTTCGTTCGCGTTTCCATCGTCGGACTCACTCGAGTCTGACTTAGCAGGTACTGCCTCCTCATCGGCCTCCTCTGCTTCAGCAGCCAGCACGGCCTCCTCCTCCATCTCGACGGTCACATCGGGAGGGGTGACCACGGGGGCCGGGTAGAACGGGTTGGGGACCAGTTCATCCTGCTCCTCCATCACGTCTTCCAGCACCTCCACCTCGCCGGAATCCCGCATGTGCGCCAAGATGAGATGATCCTGGCTCCCGTCCTCTGCGTTGGAGATGTCGCAGGTGAGGAATGCATTCCTCACCATTTCCTCGGGAACGTCGGCCCTGTTAGAATATGGAACGAATGAATGACTGAACTAGCAAGCAGGTGGGTACAAGTAGGAAACCTAAAAGTGTTGTACCCTATAAGAACTACCCCACTACAGCCTAAACAGACTATAGCATATAAGTTTGACACACCCCCATAGGCAAAGTGGGGGAGAACAAGAGGTCACAAGACCAGTCAAGAAAAGCAAAGCAAGCTCAGGGTGGATCACAAAGTCACCACGCAGTCTGAGCACAAGCAAATGGCCACAAGGCCAGTTCACATGCAGAGTTATATAAAGGAAAACAAACAATACAGTGAACACAACCTAGCAAGTGTAAGCATGCAGGTATATGTATATAGAGTACACTACAAACAGAGTCAAGAAGAAAGCAAGTGAGGCACAGTAGGTACAAGGCCTAGAACAGTACAGAAACGCTGATGATCACAAGGCTGAAGTGCCTTGGTGAAAACATCAGCAGTGTTGGCCTGTGAGGCCACGTAAGCGAGACGAAGCTGGCCACGCTGCTCCAACTCTCGAGCAAGGAAGTAGCGCAGAGCAATGTGCTTCGTTCTGTGCTCCAGTCTATGCTCCTGACACAAGGCAAGCATGGCCTTGTTGTCGACGTACAGAACTGGAGGAGAACGAGGCGCCTCTCCCAAGTCGGTCAGCAGGTAGGTGAGCCAGCGTAACTCCTGTGCAGCCATGGCCCCAGCGTAGATCTCAGCCTCACAACTGGAGCTGAGAACTGAAGACGAGCGGGTAGACCGCCAAGAGACAAAATCGGAGCCACGGCTGAAGGTGTAACCCTATGACGACCGCTGCGTAGCCAAGTCGTTAACCCAGGAGGCGTCTGCGTGACCAGTGAGGACAACTCGAGCCCGTCCTCCAAGCACGAGCCCCATGCCCGACGTACTGCACAGGTAGCGCAACACCCTCTTCGCAGCATCCCAGTGCACCTTTCGGTGCCTACCGGGAGCCACGTAGCGAGCCAGAAGGCTGAGAGGGTATGCGAGGTCAGGTCGTGTGCAAGTCATCAGGTACATGAGGCAGCCCACAAGCTCTGGATACAGGCAACTCGGCTCTACGGACTCGTCCGAAGGTGGAGCTGAGAGCGAGTGACCGGTAGGCAGAGGAGTGGACTGTGGCGAGGAGTACGTGAAGCCGAAGCGCTGAAGGACCTGCTGCACCATGTGTGACTGAGTCAAGGTAATGGTGCACTGTGCTCTGTCCCGGGTGATCCGCAAGCCAAGATAGCTTGTCAGCTCACCCAGGTCTGTGCACGTGTGTCTCTTCTGCAGCTCGGACTTCACGTGGGTGAGTGCCTCAGTGTGAGCAGTAGCAAAGACGAGGTCGTCTACGTACACGAGAACGTAGAACTGCGGCAGAGTGGTGTCAGTGCGTAAAAAAAGCGACGGATCAGCAGTGGAAGGAGCAAAACCAAGAGCAGCAAGAGTAGTCCTCAGTGGGTCGTGCCACTCACGCGGTGCCTGGCGGAGACCGTAGACTGGCCGCCGGAGGCTCCACTGGGTACCAGCAGGAAACGACCCAGTGAAGCCAGGTGGGCGGCGCAGCCAGATCTCCTCGTGCAGGCTGCCCTGTAGGAAGGCTGTGCTGAAGTCAAGCGAGTGGAGCTCGTAGTCTCGGTGAGCGGCGACGTGCAGCAGCACCTGAAGAGTGGTCATCTTTGGGGTAAGGGAGAAGGTCTGGAAGAAGTCAACTCCCTGTCGCTGACTGAAGCCACGTGCAACGTAACGCGCCTTGAAGACAGGCGGAGAGCCCGGCGGCCACTTCACCCTGAAGATCCACATGCCACTGACGATGTTCGCCCCAGGCGGGGGAACCTCGTCGACGTAGGTGCGTGTGGACTTCCAGGAAGCCATCTCGGCGTCCATGGCTGCCTGACACTGAGAGGAGTAGGGATCCTCTATCACCTCTGCGTAAGAGCGCGGGGTCGGGATGTCTGGTGCATCCGGGTCTCCCTCAGGGGCAAGCAGCATGGCAAGCAGCAGCGGCAAAACACTCAAACTCCTCCTGTCTGTCCTCAAGAACGTCCGTGCCAAGAGCACACTCACCCCCAACGGACGGAGGACAGACAGACTCAGACGCAGACTCAGCAACAAGACTAGTGGCAAAGTCTAGGCGACAGGCTGCAGCAAAGTCAACAAGCTCAGCAACTAGAGCAGACGCAGCAGTGGACTCAAACAAAGGGTCAGTGACAGCAGTGGCCAGAAAGCGCGTGACAGTAGGACTAGTAGCACAAAAGGAGTCAGACTCCGGGTCCGGACCGTCAGGAAGAGAGGACTCAGGAGGAGACGGCAGAGGGACACGCTGTGGAGCATTGGAAGGACGCAGTGTCATAGAGTGAGTGCCAGGGACAGGAGGAGGACGCGGACGCGAAACACGACGACCAGTGCGAATGGTGCGGACAGGCGACTCAGAACGAGACTTAGGTGACGCGGGACGAGACTCAGGCGACAAAGGACGCGATTCAGGCTCACGACGCTCCGTAAGACCTTTAGTCGGTCCAAAGTAAGGAGAAGGACCAGGCAGTGGAGAGGCCAGGTGTAACTGCACTTGTGACTGGACAGGCGGTGGACTCAGTAAAGGAGGAGTAGGACCAGGAGAAGGCTGTAGACCAAGAACCCATCTGAAGGAGCGGAACGTAGTACGGCCACGGCCAAGCAGCGCCTCCAGAAACAGCAGAGACAGCACCAGTACCCTCAGCTCCAGGGTCGCCAACTACAACTCCCGCAGTACTACCAGCTCCAATACCTCCAGCAGCTCCAGCTCCAGAAGCACCTCCAGTAGCAACAGCTCCAGCACCTACAACTCAAACTGCTATAGCACCACCAGCCCCACCAGCTCCAGTACCTTCAGTACGAGCACTTCCAGGGTCAGCTGCTCCAGCACCTCCAGCAGCTCTAGAAGCACCTCCAGCAGCTCCAGCACCAGTAGCACCTCCAGCAGCTCCAGCAGCACCTCCAGCACCAGCAGCACCTCCAGCAGGCACCTCCAGCACCTCCAGCACCAGCAGCACCAGCAGCAACAGCAGCACCTCGACAGTGCCAAGCGTACCAATAACGAAGTTGCTGCGGAGAGAGGGGCTCCCGCCGCGACGGGACACCCGGAGGACCTCTAGACGCAGCACTCTCAGGCTCAGCACCCCCAGACTCAGCACTCCCAGACTCAGCACCCCCAGGCTCCACACGCTCAGGCTCAGCACCCCCAGGCTCCGCACCCTCAGAGACAGAAACCCCAGGCTCAGCACCCCCAGTCCCCGCACCCGCACGCTCAGCACCCCTAGCAGCACCTGAGTCGACAGCTACCTCGACCGGCTCGGCAGGGTCTACCTGGGACACACCTGAGGGGGCAGGATCCTGAGGGGGGGAGGGGGTCTACCAGAGGAGTACCTGGTGCTAGGAAGAGTGGCGGGAGGGGGGGAGAGGCAGTGCGGTAGGGAAAGAGACGGTAGTAAGACACCGACTCGTCAAACGTGACGTCCTGAGAGAGGACAGAACACGACGCGAGGTGGGGTGGTAGAACTGCCACCCGGGTGCGTCAGGGGGGAAGCCAAGGAAGACGCAAGGAATGACACGGGAGGACAGCTTGTCCGCTGAAGTATCGCGGACAAAAGCTCGAGATCCCCAGACACGGAATACGGACGCATCGCCAACCTTCTCGTCCACCGCAGAGTAGGTGTGGTCTCCGGCAAGGAGACACGAGGCTGAAGGTTGATCTGATGCGCAGCGTACTGAACCGCGAACGGCCACAGAAAATGGGGAGCAGCCGCATGGATCATGGACGTACGAGCGACGTCCATGACCATGCCAATGCGGCGCTCAGCAATCCCATTTTGCTGTGGAGAGGCCGGAAGCGTGAACGTCTGGCGGGTGCCCTCCGCACGACAAAAGGCCCTCAGGAGGTCGGAGGAAAACTCACCACCTCTGTCTGAGTGCAGACGCAGAATAGGAAGGTCCGAGCCCAAACGCTCGCTGAGCTGGCGACGGGCACCACGGATCCAGTCGATCAACACCTCAGTGACCTCACTCTTGCTGCGCAAGGGGAAGACTGTGGTGTAACGCGAGTAGTCGTCAACGACCAGCAGGAAGTAACGCTCGTGACCCTGTCCACGGACGCGGGCTGGGCCCCACACGTCCATGTGAAGAGTCTGCAGGGGAGCCTCCGTCGGAGGGAACGTGGAGGAGTGAGGAACGGCGTGCTGTCGGCCCTCGACACACGGAACACAGGTAGGGGCAGGCCCCGGAGGAAGAGGAGGAAGGCACCGTGGGAGACCCGAGACAAGGGTACGGGAGGCCATACCTCGAAGACGAGGCAGGGAGGGGTGACCAAGGCGGTGGTGCCAAAGGAGAGTCTCGTGCGACAGAGGACGACACGAGCAGGGGGCAGACGCAGGACTAGACCTGGACGCGGCAGCAAACACCTGACTAGACGCGGCTACCTGACCAGACGTAGTAACAGGAGGAGACGCTGTAGTCAGTGTGTACAGACTCGACCCAGGCCGACGGGTGAACGTGGCCAGGTGGCGGCCCGTCCTAGAGCAAGTGCAGTGGGTCACACGCTGACCTCCAGGGGTGAACTGGTCGACCCACGCGTCCTGGAGGTCAGCTCCACTCACCAGGTTCGTAGAGAACGAGGGGAGGTGGAGTCCCGACAGCAAGCCCGACGGGGCCGCAGGACACGGTAGAACCGTGGAAGAGTGCGCAAGGACTGGGCCCCCAGAGGGGTCAGCCAGGGAGACTGCGACAGGCCGACTGAGCGGTGTGCGTGTGGTGCTGTCGCGGAAGAAGGAGCGCGAAGCACCAGAGTCAAGTGTGAAAGTGTGCAAGGTCTCAGTAGGTGCAGTACCAGAGAGAGCAGACTCACCAGCACCTGCAGCAGCAGACTCACCAGTACCTGGAGCAGCAGACGCACTAGCACCTAGAGCAGTAGCCTCAATGCCCGGGTCGGGCGGGACACTCAGGTAACAGTCACCCTCA